AGGTTCTTAAACTTGACATGGATGTGGGATCTCACAATCCACAGTGTCCTCGCAGGGCACTCATTCCTCTCTACAATCGATGTGGGATCTCACAATCCACACCCTAAACCAACGTCCTCGCTGGCACACCACTCAGTGTCCTATTGTGAGATCCCACGTCGGTTGAACAAGAGAACAAAACATTCCTTATGAGGTATGAACACCTCTTTGTAACAGACGCATTTAAAAATCACGAGGTTGACAAGAATACGTATCGAACCAAAGCGGACAATATCCACTAAGCAACAATAATCAAAACCAACTTGGAGATGGGGTTATTGGAATAGTGGGCTATCAATAGCGGCATTAAACAGATGAAAAAGAAGAAAGTGTAGAAAGCAAAAGGAATAAAATAGAATCCACTTGGAACTGTTATGGTGGGTGAAGTGGTTTGTTTGTTGTTTAGTGAGTAAAATGAATAGAGAATGAAATCATGGGGGCAGTTTATACAGTTGAATACCTGGAAAGCTCTATAAAGAAGGGTTAGCAACCAAGTGGGTTGCACGTTGCTGGAACTGCACATTCTAGAAAGATGCGGCTCGGCATTGCCGTAGTGACCTCCAATTTGGCTCCTACCTGGTTACCCACGTCGCACGCGGTGGGCCACTCGATGGGCCGGTCGGTGCCCACTACGCCTATTTTTCTTCTTTCATGCTCTGAGTTGAAAATCAATTCATTCGGCCTACTTTTTATATATATAAATAGCTTATGACCGGACCTACGTTTGAGTATTTTTCGGATAAAAATCTTTAGTGATATTTAAAATTATTTTGAAATATATCTTTAATTATTTTAACTAAAACTAAATTAATAAAAATACGCTTTAATTCAACTTTATCTCAAAAATATTTTTAAATCGGTAAGAGTTCTAATAACACCCTTCAATTTAAAATAAATAAATAAATCAAAATCAAAATTACCCGTTAACATTTTATTTTTAAAATACCGTCAAACTTTTTAAATGATTTAAAATTTATTTTAAAAACTTCAAAACACTTTAAATTTTTAAAAAAGATTAAAAAAAATTATCGCATTTAAAAAATACTCGTTAACTTTTAAAAATGACATTGAAAAATTTAAAGATAATCTATGAGGCGTCTATAAACGGTTTTCATCCATATATTCACAAACTTTTAAAAATTTTCGTCCAAATTCTCGTGATTTTTTTTTTTTTTTTTTTTTTTTTTTTTTTTTTTTTT